TGATCAGATTTATTATTATCAACTAATGGTGTTACTCCCAACTAAAACAAAAATAGAAATTTTGACTCTATGAAATATATAAAACAATAGGTTTTAGTTTACTTTTTCAAAATCTTTCTTATCTTCAAATCGTGCATAAATCAGTAAAATAATATAAAATATTGAAGTAATTATCACTGTTAAATAAACTGTTTTATTTTTCATAAAATCAGCATTTGCAAAAACATAACTCCAATTAATTGGTGCAGGTAAAACAATAAAACCACCAGCAAATGATGTTAAATGGGTTGAAAGACATTCTGTTTCATGCAGATTTGTCAAAGGACCAACTGTTAATCCATCTGATTTCCATTGATAATTTTCATCAAGATAATAACAACCTGATGTATATATACGAAGTTCATAATTTGATGTAAAGTCATATGGTTCATCGGTGATTGGTAAAGACGTATTTATTGAAGAATTATATAAACAATAATTATTAATTTCTGTTGAATTTAATTCTCTTATTCCAAATATTAATGATTGATGACCAGGTGTTTGTTGATTATCAATAAAATATCGATATATATCATCATTGGTTAAATCTATAATTACAAAAAAGAAATCCAGATGAATGTTAAAGAAAAGAAAACATACTGAAAGGACAAAAAATTGTCCATCTATCAATGAGATTAATTGAACTATTTAATTGTGGTGTTTGATCAAATTTATAAATAAATAAATAAGCAAGACTTCGATTTAAAGAATGAATTTCAAAATGAACTGAAATTGGAAGTGAACTTGTTATATTAATATAATGATAATTGAATAATAAATTATTAATAGTTGAATTAATTGATGTAACATTTTGTAAATACATTGATGGAATTAATACATTTGGATCGCGAGGAATAATCATTTGTATTGGATTATTCTGATGGGCTTCAAAAGAAACTTCATTTCCATTCTGATCAATAATTGAAAGTGAAATTGATCTTGAAAGATTTGTATTTTGAAAATTTCCAAATGAAGCAAGTGGATCTACTCTTGACTGAATAAAACAAATTATCTAATAAAAAATTATTCAAAGTGCAGAAAATTACTCGAAGTGAAATTGAAGAATTAGACGTTGTATTTAAAATAAAATCTGATGGAATATTAAACTGAGCATTTTCAACTTGTTTCACAAGTCTATCTTTGAGTGATTGAATTGATATAGTTTCTA